CAGACAAGTATTAATTTAGTTCAGCAGCGCAATCGAAACAGTACTTAGCCCCTTAGTAAGTCGATAAGGTACAAGTCTTGTAATCCGAACGACGCAAAAGCCGCAATAGTTCTCTAACTTAGCTCAATCGAAATGCCATCCGAAACGCAGAATAATTTCATCATCAGGTTATTTAGTCTCGATTGCAGGAGAACAACCCTCGATAATTTCCCTGAGACAAATTGGCCTACACTCCATACCTACGCTGGCCAGACGGGTTGTGAAAGCGAGGAGTAGGCACATAAGTACTTCAATGAGGGTTTTCGCGTATGAAAAGTCTGCCAGATGGCAGTACGTAGACGCAAGGTCCAAATGCTGCATGATTGGTTATTTTTGACATGACATTGACAGATATGTCAAAATCCACTAATCACGGAGCAGTCAGACCCCACATCCACGTCCCGCCATCTAGCGGATCTTTAATGCGCGAAAACCCTCATTCAGATCAATTCGATCAATCAGGTTTATTAAACCAATTAAGTAGAAGCAATTACACTGTCTCCTTAACCAAATTAGTGTTCGTTATTAAAAAAAATATTTTAATTTTCAGGTGGCAACCTTCGTGAACCTCCACCAAAACGCCTTGCAGATATTATCAGAGGTTTCCAAGTGGGACACAGACAGTTTCGTGTTCGACAAAGAAGGGTTCCGCATAGAGATCGACTCGGCAACGCCTGTGGACGCGGAATCGGATGACCCGATACCAGAGGGCGCTAAACAGAATAACCCTCTAGAGAGCGAGGATACACTGTTTCTGCATTACAGGTAAGAAAGGAGAGTGAATAGGCACTTACAGGGCAGATATGTACCATCGTAGACTGCATCTCACTTAATACCAGGTGCGATTGCGGTCAAATACCTGCCTTTATAAGCATAAAAAGAGTTTATATTATAGGTAGAGTATATAACTAGTGAAAGGTGGCACTAGGAAAGAGCAGTAATTTCAAAAATCTTGCTGAATTCTTCAGTCAGAATCAGTACCTCTATTACGAAAAACTTTCGAGTTCGTTTCGTTTGCGTATTCAAAGTGCCATCGAAAAATTTTGTATGAAAAATTAAACAGCGCCCCCTATATTATAGCCGCCCTAGGGGCTCGTTCGGTTTACAAGACTTGTCTTGACTTACTAAGGGGCTAAGTGCCGTATTCAATTTCGTTAAATTGCTAAACTAAATTAATACTTGTCTGAAAACAGTTTATACCTTTCTCTCATCATCAGTTTTGGTATCCGCCATCTCCCTCGTGGCAACTGCTTTTGCTTCCTCCAGAGAACTCTTCAGAGCTAGGGCGGTGAGGTCCCCAGTCTTTTGCAGATCAACTGTCTCTTTTAACAATTTCTCTTTCTCTGCGATTATGGCACTGATCTTCTCTTCTGCTGCTACATTTATTTGTTCTGTTATGCGCTCGCAACGATCCTGACAATGTTTAGCAACATATTTAATTTAGTAATTCAGCTTCTAGTTACTGAAGCTTTAATACCTAACTTTAATTAACTGTATGGCCCAAAAGTTGACTGAGAGAGGATGTCGTGTGGCATTAAAATCGCCTTTTTCACCCTGCTCTATGTGCAATAAAGTTTTAAATCAAATAATTATAACTTTAGATACAAAAACTATACTTACAGTAAAATGCTCTCTTTTATGTTCCAGACGATTCGAAGCAGATTCAAGTTGCTTCAAAATATTATAGCCGCCCTAGGGGGCGCTGTTTAATTTTTCATACAAAATTTTTCGATGGCACTTTGAATACGCAAACGAAACGAACTCGAAAGTTTTTCGTAATAGAGGTACAGACTGTAGTTTTGTACAATCGCTAGCATAATATACAATACTTCTTGCTAGTTAGCACTTTTAATTACAACTACATAGGATGCCACACTGTCATGTTACCTATTAGGTACTCACTTATGTAATAAATAGACGTGCATGCGCTTGAGCAATGTTTCAGATGTGAAATTGCTTTGTAGAACTAACAGGCGCTTTGTTAACTTGTACAAGTTTCGTCCGTGTGAGTTGGTAATTTCCAAATCTGAGTACCTACCTTATTCACAACGAGGAAGCTCTTACCTACATCTTATCTGATGAAAAGTGCTAGTTCTAATGCTGTATGTTTGTATTTTAATGATGTAGGCTTTATAAAACTCATTTATTTATGCAAGTAGGCTTTTATGAAGCACTTTACACGTCCCAGTGTTAACCCTACCACTGCTTCGGGCAATAAATGGGCCAGTGCTGAGAAGAAGCAGCGCAAGAAACTCAGTCACTATTATCAGCCTCTTTTTCAAGGGTTTACAGAATTTAAAATACCCATAGTTATATTCATCCCAAACATTTTTATCTTTTAAATAATCATCGACTTTATAGTAGCCCTTTAAAAAAAAAGTAGTATTTATAGTAGCCCTTTGCGCACAATGGCCCAATCATGAAGCTAAGTGCGGTATTCGATTGCCCTGCAAAACGAACTATAGTAGCCCTGTTTCATTATACTTTTAATTTTTTGGCTATTATTTTAAATAATAAATCACTTTTATAGGTCTCGCAACTTCGTCCCCCACTACGTTTGGCGTAAAGCGTCCAGACCAGGCGGTGTAGCCATCAGTCCTTGGAGCGGGCACCTCTATGTATGCGGGATGGACATCCACTGTGTGCTGGTGGTAGAACGGTCCCAGGCCAAGGTCGTGAGGCGGCTCACGAATGAGGACATGCTGTGTCCTGTTCAGATCGCGTTCATGAAGAGCTTGGGAGAGGTGTATGTGACTGGTTAGTATACTTCCAGAAGAACATATTGGCACTGACGTTATTGTAGAATTTAACTAAGAACTTGCTCTTATTTCTAATAAATGCTTGGGCTCATGAGGCAGAAAGATTCTGGAATGGAGGCCACGTACCGTAAACAGATTAAATCTTACAAAAGTTGCAAGATTGCAGACCGCTTCAGACCGGTCAATCTGGAAATCATTGGGCCTCTCTCAATCAGTCAGCAGTGGAATTCCCATGGCTGAAATTATGACGAAGATCCCATAGCGTTTAGATGAAATCTTTAGATGAAAAGAAGCACAATCATTTGTACAGGGTGGCCCAGATAGAAATGCACTTTTAAAAATTCAAGGAAAAAAATTCTGTGTAATTTTGTAGAACTTTGTTTATTAAAATTTAAAGAAAATTTAACGGGCCACCTTATATCGGACTTCATTTGTATGCCTCAAGGTGCCACAATATCTATAGCGCTGCTGATCTTTGATGCCCAATAATGATTATATGCTGCGGGCAGCGCAGGACAGTTCATTATGGAAAACCTTGGGGGAGGCCTTTGTCCAGCAGTGGACGTCATTTGGCTGAAACGAACGAACGAATGATTGTATTGTAGTGAGTCAGTCCTCAACTGTCTTTTCTCGTTCCAGACAAATGGAAGCACTGCATCCACGTGTTTTCCAAAGACGGCGAGTTCTTACGAACTGTGGGCCAGAAGGGCAGTCGCCCGGGCATGTTCAGATCGCCTGAGGGCATCGCGACTGACAACGCTAACCAACTGCTGTATGTGGTTGATACGGGGAATGATAGGGTGCAAGTAAGTTATCATAGTGTTGTAATTATAAAAAAATCTCAAAAAGTCTTTTGGTATTGCCATGTTATAAACTGGTTGTATGAAATAATTGACGAAATTATCATGAGGCAATTTTGATGTGAAAAACACTATAAATATTGTTATAGGGTGTCAGCAAGATTTCAAATTTAAATTGGAGCCACTTTTTTCCTGAATTTACGGAAGAGCCTCTTTATGAAAATTTTATTTTATGTGCTTAGGTTTTCTTCAAAGCTGTGTACAGAAGAATTTGACTGTTAAAAAGAGTAACGGCCTATTCAGACCTAAGCGGTATTCGCTACCGTCTGCGGCAGAGAAAACGCTCTAGCCGCGGTACTTGATACTAAATACCTGAGCAAAACCCACGTGGTATGTACCTCTACCCACTGCGGCAGCGAATATCGCTCAGGTCGTTCTAGCCGCGATACTTGATACTAAATACCTGAGCGAAACCCGCGCGGTATGTGTCAGCGAATATCGCTCAGGTTTGAATAGGCCTTAAAAGATAAAAAAATGTGACCACTAAAAGCATTACCATAACTAAACCACTAAACATAAAAGACACGCCGTAAATTATTTTCGCTTGCAACACTTTCCTTAAAATGATATACTGACTACGCCACCGTTCTTTCCAGATCCTCCAGCCCGATGGCAAATTCGTGGACCACCTCGGCGTAGCATCCAAACTACAGCCTATCAATACTACCTCAGTCTGGACCTCATCAGAGGTCAACTGCACCGAACTAAACGCACCTACCAGTGTAGCCGTCACATCTGACCGCGTAATCGTCTTGGACAGCGGAAATAAACGCATAAAGATATACAATAAAGAGAATAAGAGCAAAATAATAGAGTTCGGGTCTATGGGCCAAAGAAAAGGGCAGTTTAGGCAGCCAGAAGTGCTAGCAGTCGACCCCTTAGGGTTCATTTTAGTGGGTGATTCAGGGAACTGCCGCGTTCAAGTCTTCAAACAAAATGGGCAGTTGGTAAGGGTCTTTGGAGGAGTAGGATCCGCTCCTGGCCGATTTGGTTGGATATCAGGCATTTACGTGACGAAACAACTTGATGTAATTATTAGCGATACGAAGAACCATTGCGTTAATTTCTTCTGATATAATATTTGAGATTTGATGAGATTTCGTTATGTGTTAACCGGTTGGTCAATTTATTTTTAGATAAGTAGGTACTACGGGTTTTTGTTGTCGATTCAGCAGTAATTACTATTCTAACGGTCAAACTAATGACTCGATTTTGGTCATTCACGGACCGGGTATGTATAACGCCTGCAGTGGTCCCAGGTTCTAATCCCGCTGGATATAATAGCGCAAAAAAACATGATTATTGTTAATAATAATTTGGTAATATTAGCGAAACAAAGTACTTAATAACAATATTTTATTAATGGAAACAAATTCCGAAAATAAAAGTTACAATGATATCTCTTACTGATATAGTACGATCATTTATAAATAAAGATTTAGCACTAAAATGAGTTTAATTTTCATATTTCAACTAATCATATCACAATATAAGATTCATAGTTTTTTCGTAGCGTAACCAAATACATTAGCATTGATGTAGATTGAAATTAGTGAACATTTCAGGCCGAAAAGGTGGCATGTAAATAAACTATAGCTACGAAATTGATAAAATTCTAGACATCTATTAATGTTATACATAATGTTACATGTCAATTCTATGGACGTCACAGCTACAATTCCGAATCATTGAAATATAGTTCCAATATACTGAACTGTCCTATCCATGACATTGACAGCGGGGCGCCACCGTCAATAACGGATCGCTGGTTCAGATTTTTGCCATGTTGGAAACCATAATCCCCTCTGTCATTGAGTTTGGTGGGACAGTTCAGCGTGGGTCATCTATACAATAAACGATATACAAGGTGTAATTTTCTTAGAGCTACATTACTCTAAAATACATACTACCATTGCTGTAAAACCGTAGACAGTTATATTTTACATAAAAATGTGCTAAAAACACATCCTATAAATATTTATTAATTTAGTTCCGTAGAAAATTCAATAACAAATGTATATTTGCACTAAAGACAAATTATGATTTAATCAATTCAAAGTAGGAAGAGCTGAATCCAGTTTAATTGGTAGTATATCGGTGTTTACACCCTGTATATCCAACGTTATGTCTAACATAGATAAAAATACGTCTGTTTACAATATTGAATACTAAATACATGGCTTATATCAGTCTCGATTAGGTGGTATTATATTACTAATATAACTAACGTTATTTACAATTTCGAAACTGATACGTTGTCGTTAAACTAAAAACAATGAGATATAATTAATGAGAATTCATTATACTTAATTAAATTAAAGCTATAGTAATATGGGCCGATTGAAGGCCGAGTGGTGAAGGCCTGATTCTGCTGTCTCTTGAAATGATCGGGCCCAGGCCATATAATTTAGAGCTTAGTTTGGTACGCCATAAGGTGCAATTTTGCATCAATGTGTACTGTGTAGTTCGAAGTGCTGTCACTGCTTGGTTAACCTTTTATTTTTATAGAAGTTTTAAGATTATCCACTAAACTTGAAGGCAGAAAACGGTGTGTATGGTCAAACGCACTCGCTAGCGACCTTGAAAAAATATACGACAGATTAGTTGAACAGCGCCCTTAGCGGTTAGTTTCAAGAACTAACATTTATAGATGTTTTTACGCACTCGCTAGCGATAACATTTAATGTAAACTCATGGTAAAGCTACAAACAGCAATAATTTAGGCAGCGTAGCACCAACTAACGATAAAACTAAGTTCTTCTCTTTTGGGCCATAATAAAAGATTATAAAAAACATCCAGCTGTCAAATAAATATTTTTTCTACTTTGACAGCTCAAAAGAACCTCTATCTCTCTTTATCTAACTAAAGAAGAAATTAGATAGAAAAGAGTGTCAGCACAGAATCGGACCTATAATTTAGGGTGGGAAATTTTAACCAGCAAAATTTTATTATTATAATTTGTGACATTTAAGACTAAACAATGTGTAAATAGTTAAATGTATAATGGAATAAAATATAAGAACATGGCATACAATGACACATATAGATTCGACGAAACTAATATTAATTTAAGAGGTAGAAGAAATTGATCTTGTTTCGGCTAAACCATTTTTAGTGTGTGTAGTTCTTCTATTACGTTAGCGCGTTAATTTATAACTATTTTTACAATGCAATAATTGAATAATTTTAATAAGTAAAAAGGCAAGGTAAATTTTTATTATACGACGACTTATTGCCATTAGCACCGTACGCCGTCAAAAATGTAGTGAAGTGAATTTTAGAAATAATTACAAAGCCTCATAATTTATCGTTTTCATATTTATGCAATAATTGCATAAAAAATTTAATAGACCAGATGACTACTGGTACCTTTATTCAGCACCTTTAGTTCTTTAAAAAGAAAGTAAGTACTTACAGTCAAATAAATAAAATTATAAGATACTGTCATTATTGAATTTTCCCCTGAGCAATTATCAAAATTGCAAATTAATCCAAATCTGAGCAAAAAATAAATTGCTTGTTATTTACACTATGACTGTTTGGGAAAACATTTAAATCTTAAACCATAAATTGTTAAAATAAAAAAATATTAAGATCAAAAATTCATAATAAGATCAAATATTCACAGCAATATTAATGATCTACTGATTAAGATTGATTCTCATCATATCGTCTTTTTAAAATCTCTCACTTACTGCAAAACTAGACACAATAGAAATATTTTCATAAGAAATCGAATAGGGTATATTATTATGCATAGCGAACGATCTGAAATTACATTTATTGATTCTTACAACTAAGATGATGTGTAAAAAAGTATACAAATCTAACAAATAAAAACAAGTATTATGAAAATAACGATTAGTGATTATTCGATTGGTCACACCTAAATAGTTTAAAGTTGGTGTAGACTTTAGAAGATTACTATTACGTCAAAAAAAAGTTTATCGTTGTATCTCATTGCTGCAAAGACTTCTTTGTTTTCACAACAAAGACAAGTTGTTAAAAGTTAAAATAGCGGGCATGACGTTTTATAGGATTCTACGCGCGATGTGTGATAGTTTATCGACCAATCATTAGCAACCGGCCAAGGATGCGCGCCATTTTAAAATCTTATCGACGATTTTAGACGACAAACGTTAGGATTTATCGCGCTAAATCGATAAAAGTGATCCGTCTGCTTGTTTGCCTCCTGTCACATAAAAAAAAGTTTATCGTGCATCCTAGGCCTACAGTTTGTTTTATAGGCGACGAGGATTTGGTGTGACATCAAATTTTATCGACTAAATAACTTTTGGAGAATTCACCGAACTTAAGAAGCGTTTGCGCACACAGACTGTCTAGTAGTAAACATGGAGATCTATGCATTTCTTACCAAAAAAATTAAATCGGATGACTATTAATTACATCAAGAATTATTATCATACAAATAAAACATGCATATTTTATATCCTATTGGTCAGTTCTAAAGTGAGCGAGTTAGGATGAGCGGCAAGGCGTGCACCTACTTACGGCGTGGCTTTCGCCGAGCACCACGGAGTCCGACTCGGCTGGCGGACCTTCGCTGTTGTCGTGTTGTCTCTGAAAAATTACAAAATACAATTTATTAACTTAATAATAATAAAAGATCATGTTATAAGGTCATAAAACATTTGACCATGCGTCTCCCTCAATGGGTTACGGTTTTTCAAGGAAATGGGGAACATTTGTCGTGTTTTCTCCACTAACTTACTTAATACACTATTATTAACATAAATAATATAATTTACATGATTTGAATTTCATAAAAAGCATTTAACCATGTGTCACACTTAATTTCACATTTGGGGAACATTTCTTCATCTGGAAGTGGTGACGGTTCACAAAGCATTTAGCTTTAATGATATTATATTTATTATGAATATTATGTATTGTATGTAAAGTATAATTAGTAAATACTAAAAGTAACGATTCTTTTAATATTATGAGTGCTTAATATTGTAACTGGTTACAAACAAGTTGAGACAAAAAATAAATGGATTGTAAAGTAAACTCTTTGTTAACAGAAAAAACAATTTACAGTTCAATAAGCAACTAAATGGTTAATTTAGATAAGACTGCTGTTTTGTTACACCAACTCCAATTACAATGTATAAAAAAGAAACATTGTGCAAAGGATGTAACCTAGAAACTTATGAAGCGTAGCTGAATAACAATGAGCAGTGCATTTCCAGCCAACTCTTGTGAACAAACGCTATGCATATTGCAGTTTCTAAACTTTTACTGTCACATATTTTTTCCGGCATAATTTAATAATTGTGTAAGTGTGCTGCTAGCTTCACGCATGAATTTTAGTCTAATACTGATAATATATCGCGAGTTCCGCAATACACTTACAGTTGAAAACTCAAACTATTCTGAAACATTTTTTTATTGAATATCTTGTTACCACTTTCTAAGAAATAAATTTATTGAATTATAATATGAGTTTAATTCTTACCAATCGAATAAACTTAATTATAAATCATATCCCTATTTTAAATGTTGGGTATTTTATACATATACTTACAGAACTGAAGTTACATTAAATAATTTCATACATGTACAGTTCAATTAGATAATCTAATGTACAGTTCAACTAGATAGTCTAATGTAGTAACATTTAGCATCCACTTTAGTGCAGCAGTCTTACTGGATAAGTATGTAGTTATTAGCAAAAAGTAGTTTTTCAATAGTACAACCAATAGAAGATGAATAAAAACAATCAATCAATATGAACATACCTTCAATTCAGTAGCCAGACTGCGGAAAGTGTCCTCAACGTTAGTGTTGTCCTTAGCCGATGTCTCCATGACGAACATAATCTCAGGCACATATCGACAAAATGATTTCGGCTCATCGGGCTCTACCTCTCGTTGTTCGGTTAAATCGCACTTGTTGCCAATTAGAGATACAATGACATTGGACGATGTGTACCTTCGTACTTCCTCTATCCATTTTTGCAGAGATAAGAATGTTGAACGTTTGGTGATGTCATAAACTGGAATATTAACAAAAATGACCTTGTTGACATAGTTGCTTAAGATATGAAGTATTAAGGTCAGTCAATTTGTCAGTCTTGGGTGAAAAGAAATATTTTTTCATATTAGAACTTTATTTGATGTTAACAGCCTACCATTTAGATTAGCAAGTTTTAATGAAGAAAATTAGGCCAGATTACTAATTGTGATATCATTTAAATGTGACCCAAGGGAGTAGGTACTTATGACTAATATGCATTAACATCATTTTGTAGTTATTAAAATATACATTTGCAAATTACAAATTGTTTTAACTGTTTATAATTACTTCAAAAGTAATCGATGTAAGTGAAATTGTATTAAATAATTGTTTTATATCATCATTTAAGAATTTAGTAATGTAATGAGTGCTATTACATCTTATTAATTAAAAATTCAAATATTAGAAACAGGAGTCTGATTTTAGATAGCTTTATTTATTACACAATATAATTGATTGAATTATGTAAGTTCATAATTAATAACCTACATCAGTTTTCCTGAAACTATTTCAGGAAGCCATGAAAAAATAGCAGCCAATTAAAAAATATGTAGTAAAATTAATTACTAGTTAGGAAAAAGCTTTTACCGATAATTACGCCGTTTGCTGAGCGATAATAACTCTGTGTGATGGTTCTAAATCTTTCCTGGCCTGCAGTATCCCATATTTGAAGCTGAAATAAGGCATTCAAGTTTCGTAAGCAATTCATAAGGTAAAAGGAAGTTTATGGCCATTGCATACAACTGTGTGACGATTTTGCGGAAGCCACTTAAAAAAAATATTCACACAGGTTGACATCAGTACCAATACAACACACACTAGAAAGATATAGGTTTTCACATCGCAATGCATTATCTTAACTTAATTTACACTAACCTTGACTTTCTTTCCATCCACAATGAGCGTTTTCATTGAAAAATCGACGCCTATTGTATTCCCATGCCTTTCTATGAAATTTCCTGACTTCAGTCGCTGAACAATGCATGTTTTACCTGTTCCGCAATCACCAATAAGCACGATTTTAAACAAGTAATCAAACTGCTCGTCCGGGACGCTCATTAGCGTATTAGGATTACGGCTAGACATTTCTAATTTTAATTAAAATTTTAATTAAATTTTCTGTTTACAATACTTTTCCCTTTTTGACAATTTCGCTAAGCACAAGCTGTCACTGTCACTGCGCGATATGTTTTTTTTTTCTTTGGGGAGTGCTGTGTCGTCAAATGGTAACAAATCAGACGATACGATGCGGATACGATCCAAATCTAAAATGATGTGTGCGATTCTGACGATTTTAGATAAGCTTTAGCAGGGTTAACTTATTTTGTAAGCAGGCAACACTGACTGTTTGCTGTCAATTAACTGTCACAAATAGTCTGTCAATGTCAAAATAATCAATAGATCACAATAGATTTCGTTTTGTAGATTTTTGGGCACAAAAATTTAATTAATGGGATAAATTGTAAATTAATCATTAGGGCCTCTAAAGACACAAACATACACCAAAATGCGGATATTTATACTACCATTCTTAGTTGTTACCGCAGTTTTATTGCGTGTACATTCTGCGATAGAGGTAACCACATAAACTTATCGCAGTTTATCTTTAAACTGTAATAAAACATGCTATAACATTTCAATGACATATTTTAGATCCCCGAGAGCTTCCAGAAGTCGAACCATACGAATAACTGGGCGGTTCTGGTCGATACATCCAGGTTTTGGTTCAACTATCGCCATGTAGCGAATGTGCTGTCTATTTACCGCAGTGTGAAGCGGCTAGGCATCCCAGACAGCCAGATTATACTGATGATATCGGACGACATGGCGTGTAACCCGAGGAACCCTAGACCGGCCACGATATTCAATAATGCGCACGAACAAATCAATGTTTATGGGGATGATGTTGAGGTTGATTACAGAGGATATGAAGTGAGTATTTAATTTTATTTCTTATAAGCACTGAAACACAAAAAAGTGCTATCCTTATTGTCCTTTTGATAATAAATTATCCTACATAAGTTTTCCATACACTCCAATATATTTAAAATTTTGACTCATAATTTTAAAGTTTTTAGTCAAATGTAGGCAAGCTATTGATCACAATATCAAGTTTAGACAGCATCTAGAGTGGCCTTAGACTTTCTTATCTACTTTGCTAAATAGCTAAGTAAAGAGTAAATACTCTTGCTTTGAAGTAGCCCAAATAATTTATTTTAATTTTAGGTATCAGTGGAGAATTTTGTCCGTCTCCTAACTGGAAGAGTTCCTCCTAACACTCCCAGATCCAAGCAACTACTTACTGATGAGGGTAGTAACATCCTGATCTACCTCACTGGTCATGGAGGAGATGGTTTCCTCAAGTTCCAAGATTCAGAAGAAGTTACTAGTCAAGAGTTAGCTGATGCTTTGGAGCAGATGTGGCAAAAGAGAAGGTAAGGTTTATATCTTTTATTTAATGCATTTGGAGATGATGCATATTATTTATTAACTTTTATTTCTTACTTAAATTTTATTGGTTCACAATTTGCAACAATATACATAATTGTCATTAATAAAAATAAGTTATTAAACTTGACTTTCATTTTGCTGGTGTGTAATTTATTGTTAAAATAACTTATCTAACTTCAAGCAAATCCTTAAATTATTATTGTATCAAAAAGACCTCACTGAGTCCTGATATATTATATGATGCCATTCTTTAAACATTCATCATGCATTTGTATTCATAGTTGAAAAAAAATTGTGAAATGGCAATGTGTTTTTTATTTTTCCAGATACAATGAGATATTCTTCATCATAGACACATGCCAGGCATCATCTATGTATGAGAAGTTCTACTCGCCAAACATCCTTGCTACTGCCAGCAGCTTGGTTGGAGAAGACTCCCTTTCAGTAAGTATAACCCTTTATAAGGCAGTGGGAATATAGTTCCCACCTTATTTTTCACAAAAAGTTACCTTATTGCTTGTTATATGGTCCAAAAACTATGAAACATTTGAACCTTTTATGCCCATTGAAGGATGAACATAAGTTGGTGAAAATGGATGGAGTGGGAAATGTTTTACCATGGTTTTCTCACAACCTTTACTAATCACAATATGCAATTAAATTATTAACATTTTATTATGACGATTTGTGGTTCACAGTTTTGGTTTCTTTTAACCTATTTAATTTTGTTCTTTCTATTCCAGCATCACGTGGATTCTGCGATCGGCGTGTACATTATTGATCGCTACACTTACTATGTGCTGGAGTTCTTAGAGAATGTGCATCCCAACAGCCAGAGGACTATGTCTGAGTTTGTAAGTATTCTAATTGATTCTACTAGGAATAGAACCTGTGCATGTAAAAATAGTAACATTTGTTGCACTACTACTGCAGTCAGATGTCCCAAATTCAATCACGTTCTTAGAAAAAAAAACTTGTGTGTGCATGAGTGACATTAACTTGACAAATGCCTCTCCAAGGATAGTGACAACCACAGATATGGGTTACAACGATTGGTCCTGCGCTGCCCGCATCTTGGCATTTCCCACGATTTTAAGTAGATCATCGGTTCACCAAGTGTTTCGGTCTGCGGTCGACACTAAAGAACTTTTAGTGCATAGATAGATAGAACACTGTATAAAAAGGCCAAAATATTTATCTGGGGGCACGGCAGTGCCGCCACCAAGTCGAGCAAAAAAGCGGCACGGCCGTACCATCCTTTTCTCGAAGCAATTCAGGCCATTTTCGACCGCCTGTAACTTCGTTGTGGATAAAACTAGAAGGCTGAATTTTCATTAGCTATGCAGGCATTGTAAAGACACGGTATATTTAAAATTTAATTAAATTTGAACAAGTAGTTTAAGAATTATAACGGGTCAAAGTTACTTAATTTTGTCACTCACTGACTCACTGACTCACCGATCATCAAAACTCTAAGGCACTTCTAGCAGACCTAGAAGCTTCAAATGTCAATATCTTTTTAGCTTTTAACGCAAATCTAGTCTTCAAAGCAGTTTAATCGATTTATTTTATTTTCAAAATCGATATTTTATTGTCTATGATGGCCGCAGGAACATCACTATACATGGACTCCCAGCAATAAAGTACGGTAATGCCTCGTACAGATTTTATCGGCAAAAATTATGGAACTTGATAGGTTTTAGACCATGCCACGCACCAAAACGTCCGGAAGTTGTAATAGTATTATAGAATAAACGTTAAAAGACTTATTTATTTAATTTTTCAATGCTTAAGTGTCCATTAGAACGAAAGGGTGCTTAATGTATTTAAAAAAATAGAAAATAATTATGATGGGTTAATGTTTTTTGGCGGTTTTTTAGGCGGTTTCTGACAATGTCCTTTGGAATATAAGTAGTGTTTGGTGTATGAATCAAGGAAAAACTAAAATATTTGGGGGCACGGTAGCGCAACCGCCAAGTCGAGTAAAATTTTTCAATTTCGGTCCAGTTTTCTAGATACATAACTGCTGTCTACAAAATACAAAAAGAAATAAGATCCCATCAAAAACAATACTTGTCAAAAAAACCAAGTCTCGCAACTCAGTTGTTCTACGGTAAAAAGTTGTGAGATCCATGTAATACCAAGTCCAGGCCAGACTTGGCCATCGCATGAAAACACGTGTCATCATCATCATCATCAACAGCCCTTTACAGTCCACGTGTAAATTAAATTATTTAGTGCGATGGCCAAGTCAATAATTTATGTAAAACGTTAAAGATTTCCTGGCCTGGACTTGGTATTACATGGATCTCACAACTTTTTACCGTAGAACAACTGAGTTGCGAGACTTGGTTTTTTTGACAAGTATTGTTTTTGATGGGATTTTATTTACAATTCCAGTTAGCAGTGTGTCCAAAGAGCGCTTGTTTGTCCACCGTCGGTGTGCGTCGGGACCTCTTCAAACGGGACCCCAGTAAGGTGCCCATAACGGACTTCTTCGGGTCGGTCCGGCCTGTCGTCATCACCACAGACCCCATCGATATTATCGACATTCCTAAGAGGAAGAAGTCAGTGAACAAACAGTGAGTATATTTACTTTAAATATTGATATTCTTATTTTTATCAAGTGTTTTTTTTAGGGACTGCAAAATGATGCAGGAATAAACATGTCGAGAGATTCTGAGTCTGGTGCCTGTTTTCACCATCAATCCCTAATTTTTAAGTGACACCTATGGTAACACATAACAGGAATTTTGTTTTCAAAGGGGTCACTTAAAATTAGAGATTGATGGTGAAAACGGGCTTTAGTCTTATGTGACATGATATGGTTTATGGGCACGTCAATAATGCGCTACCGTGCATTATGTTCTAAGAAAAATGCCGATAAAATTTTTTTTAAAAGAGCAGTTATTTTTAACATTTGGAGAACATGTTACTCATACTTCCCAAATTAATACTTAATACAGGTTCATCAGTTTTACTTTTAGAAGGTTTTCTAAATGATTTAAGTTAATTAAAGTTTCCATTTTTTCCTCACAGGAACAAAACACTGTCGCTGAGTAGGCATTACTCGCCGCAGTTCCCTCAAGTATCAAGAGTTAGCAGTCCCGGGGGGATTGATGGCGGTACTGTGATATAAAGTATGAACATAATTTATTATACATAGTTTATGATATGATAATATACTTAGATAATAAAGTTGGTTTTAAATTACAAAAGCGTTTTGAGTAGTAGGTATACACTATGCTATACTCTGGTAGAACGTAGAATTTTGTCCAATGACCCCAAACTACCCATCCTTATCGCTCGCGCGTAATTACTATATTGCTGTCGCGACTGTGCGACGGGCGCCCGCAGTGAGTGCTTGGGGTCATTGGACAAAATTCTACGTGGTCAGAGACCGGGCTTTACACACATTTTTTTTTAATCTGATTTATATCAAAGTCTAATCTTTTATAATCAAGCCAAGAGTTATGCTCCTACTATCTCAACTCAGAGGTTTGTTGAACAATTTAATCTCTACCATTTAATAGTCATAACTAGTTCAAATTTATTTATTGTTTTTAGACCTTAAGGTAAGGCAATAAGATTAAAAAATATAGGGGGAATTATGTTCCCGTTCCCCAGTTGAATCTTCTAGTGTGTCTGGAAAACGTAAAGGTTGTGACATTGTGTCAAATAAAAGCACCATAAAATATTAAATACGTAATTTATTCATCTATAAGTACTAAGAATAATTTCTCATTAACATTATTATACACAACCGATCAGTTGCAATTGGAATCTAACAGAATATATAATTAGCAACAATACTTCGCGTCTCACACTCAATGAGATCAAATTCTAAAGGACTATAGCACCATTACAGTTACGATCATAGGCCATATTAATATTTTTGGTCTAATATTCACTCCGTACTAACTATATATTCATACTTTACTTGCCCTAGAAGCAAATAAGACTATATGCTGGCATTACCAAGGTTGAGAATCGCTTGTAGGTCGTAAAACACATATTAAACTGTCTATTATGATAGTGTCAAAGCTGGTTTTCCACCGCAAGCGAAGCGAGCCTATTAATGTCTCAAATTTCCTCGCAATACAAAAATGAATACATCTGTTTCCACAAACAAAGAGTCGAGCGAAAATGACAGAGGCCAAAGAGAGACAAAAAGAGCTCGCTCATCAAATCAATATTCCCGAACTCTTTCTCGGTCGAAAAGCAATCTTATTTTATGTACACGAAGATCGTTCCGCTAAATCTCTAGTTCATTTTTCTTTGGCGGTGGAAAACGAGCTTTATAGACCTGTATACATATAGATGCTAGCTCAAAATAGCAGTAGGCCTAAAGAAATTTTGTAAATTGTAAGCAATTATCGACTTAATGACACATTTCTAAGCATTTTCTAAAACGACACTCAAAATTCGATTTCAACTCAAACATACTTTCAAGATGATTGATTGATTTTCAATTCAATATTTACTCAATAAAATTGAATCTATACTAATCGTACTTGTACGTACTTGAGTGTCGTTTCAAAATTCCTTAGAATACAAACGGTACAAACTCATTTCAATATTTTTTAAGACGTGTCATGGAATTACATACAAATTAAAAACATTTACAGATTACTGAACTAAAACAACTAGTCACTAGTTTTTTAATGGCAATTTTTCAACAATACATTGTGAAAAATTAGCTAGTTATTTAGGGATCCGTAGTCAGGCAAAGAGCCATTTTACTTTCTAAGTCTTTCTGTCCTCGCAAATCTTTTACTTAGCCTTAATTTGATTAGGGTTACAAAACATTGGGATCTTTACTTCATTAATGATTGTTATTATTGACGTTTTTCTATTTCGAATAAACCTACAAAACTCTAGAATCTGGATAGACCGAACTTTTAAAGAATAACGCTAGATTAAGTAGTTTAATTACTAAAGTCAAATACGTAGCTTAAGAGATACAGCTGACGACATTTTCTTATTTTTATATGTTCATAACATTTTATTTTTCTATTTTATTTAACCACTGACGGAGGCAAAAAAGAGACAAGGTTACAAGTTTAACGTGTAAATTTTCATGGGCCTAACCTTACTAGTTCATTAGTGGTCAAACTGTAGATCCTGGCCATATAGAATTTACAATGGTGGCAACATTTCCGTATAGCTATGTAGTACATAATTTGTTACAAACAAATGTAAACAGCTACGTAACCGAACACAGTATTTACCTACATACAGTCATACACACTTCATTTTAAATCTGCATCTCAATTGAGTGAAAATAAAAATGCTAGTCAACAATCTGTATTGTCCATTATCGAAAACATCTAGAGGATTTAACAATGATAAACCTAATATATTTCGTTACAATTAAGGGTTTAATTTACGTAGGTACTCTAAGCTCAGTTTTAGCTCTAAGACTAGGCAAAATTACCAAACTAAGACACAAACATTAACTAAATATTCACACAGATTAACCACAGAGGAAAGAACAATATTGGGCCTAAAACCGTTCCCCTATGCATCCTCGAGGAATATTTGACAGCAAATCAAATGAAATGTAGTTGTACTACAAAAATCGCTCTTATTTCGAAGGGCATTAAAGCGCCCTCATGTCTTTATTATTACGGTACTTTTTGGTGAAGTTATTTTTTTTTCAAACCCTAAAAAATAAGCAATATGTTCTTTTCACTTTGGTAGAATATTTTGCTGCAAAATTTATAGGAATCTCCACACTTGTTTTGGAGGCATTCTATGATTTTGCAGAAGCAACCACATAAATATTAATTATCTTTATTCTATTTATTCGAAAACTTAACATACATTCCATAAAGGCCACCAACGCTACATAATCATAACAAATCTGTACAACTTGCGGGGTTTATCATTGTATTACAAAAAATACTTCGTGATTGTCAAAGAAAATGTTTTTATGAACTTTTTAGGAATACTTAACATTTGTACTTATATTTTTACTTTATGTATTAACTATTATGCAAATTGATAATTAGATAGTATTTTGTCTTTTTTTTCGGCTTTCAAACATTCGTTGTTATTTACATTTTTAATTTAAAATTTAATTGGGGAAAGTCATTTTAAGATACTTAGTAATTAATTACTTAAAAAAATTATGCCTTCGAAAAAACTATTTGGAATGTTAACTATAAAGGTAGTAAAAATATCACAAAACCTTCATGATTTTAAAGTATCAAAATGTAAAAATTAAGTCAATAATCATAAAAAAACATTAAATAACAAATTCAAAAAATTACAACGATTTACTATTTTATTTTCATTTTGTAGTTTGATTCTTTATTTTTATTATAAATAGGCATTTATGTGATTGGATATTTTAGGCTCGTAAGCCTAATAGAGCGATATAGATTATTTATTTCCATACGATATGGAAGCACTAAGTATTTTTTTGTCTTGCCGTACAAAACTTTCTCATACGTATTTACATTACTTTCATTGCCAACACAACAATTAAACTATTGCTTATTATATAAAATGTACACAAATACATATTTCAACTACTTCAACATCCCATAAAAGCATTATTTGATTAGAAAATAATAACAAATGTAATCAGAAAATCGAGGAACTGTACGGATTGATTCATTTAATAACTTAAAAACAACAATGTAAAACAGCTTGAATTATTAATCTATCAAACATTATTAATAAGAATTATCTACAAGGCGCCCAAAGGGATTTTACCTATAAACTATGTAAGTAGCGATTTAATACGTAAACTGTACAAAATTGTACTAAACGGTGATCAAAGTACTATACAAACACTGACATGAAATGACATGCAAATAACTTAATTTATACTATAGTGCGACGTTGGTCATAATAACATAATGTCATACATTAACAGATTGACTAGTATCTAAATCAAGGGAATTCTTTAAAAGTTGTTTCTTCTTTTACATTACATAGAAAGCTATTCTATATTTTCGTATTTATTCTTAATTTTTACCATATACTATGGTCGAAAACTGCATCGCGTAAAATGTGCGACCCGCACGCGTTCACGCCACTATAGACGCGTGGTGAGGCTAGCGGTCTGCTTATCTGCTATAAAGTTACATAGTATATGGCAAACTCAGAAGAATATACTTTGAAATTGTATTTTGTTTATTTTCCAAATCTTTGAATCGGTTACTTTGTTACCTCTGAGAGGATTCCCTTGGCTCACAAGTCACTCAGTCACTCACTCTTACCTAGTAATTGGACAGCGTCTTCAGAAATGTATGCTTAAAACTATTGTACTGTCATAGTGTACTTTGCAAATAAACAAGCAGAAATAAAAAATATTTAAAATAAAATATAAATAAGTATTAAAAAATAAACTAGAAATCTTCAAATACGTCTCTATACCATTATTGTAATAGGATGCTGTACGTTATGAATTTTCCTTGCATTTTCATCTCAAGCAAAGTAAGGTACTTTTAGTTTTAATCGATCGATAAAATTTACATAGCGACATAAATCGTTAGTGTCGTAAACAGATAACAGGTAATTGAATCGATAATCATTTTGTAAATTATTCCTTTGTGATTTGATACTATCTCTATTTCTCTTACGTTTTATAACCAGCATATTCCATAACGCATGTGGCATAAAACTTACAATTTGGTTCTCATTAAAAGATTTCCTTTCGCGTTCTCTAGAGCGTAATTTTTAGCGTAAATTATTACGTCATGAACACGTTCGCAGGTCTGTTTTTTTAAACCATAGAGTACGGGGACACGAGTTTATTATTTTATTCTAACTAAAAACAAACGAGTGTATTTTCACCAACCTGTATCAAATGCCTATAATCTATGGGTTATTTATGCCATTTTCTTATTGTTGTGCAAACGGGCAACATCGTATTTGCTAAGGACATTTGGATGTAACTAATAGTCATCCCATACAACAAATATCCGTTATACATAAGCCTCGGACACACTAGAGGACAAATACGAAGTCTATTAGCAATCTTGCAAACCATTAGGGAAAAGTAACATTGATATCTTTAGGTACCTACTAATTTGAGTAAATCTCTCTTTGATTTCATAAAATTTTTGAGACAGTTCAATATCTTTCCGTATACAGCAAGTACTAAAGGGCCAAAGTCTACTGCGTCCAGTCCACGCATTATTTTACATTCCATCTACGTGATGCTGAATAAATGTTTCTAAGTAGCTCCCGCTCTTAAAGCGAGCGCAATAGTGACAAGTTGTCTCGGATATTCGACGCATAGAATTGAGCGACATGTCCTTCTATTTGTCCTCTATTGCATTCAAGGGCTTGCGCATCGACTGTGTCCTGAACAACTAAGGAAGTATCTTAATGCTTTAACCACTTAACAAGCACACCTTCTAACAAACCTCAGCCAAACATGACATGAACGTCGCAATGGGCTAAAACATGAAAATCTTTTGAACTTTGATATCACATAAATAACAATAACCTGGGTCGGATCGTCGTCTTCATCACTCAATGATCAGTCTTGCCGCTAACGGCTGCTGTGGCGCTGGAGAGCCCTCGGCTTGTTCATCTCTTACTTGTCTCATCGGGTTTCACTATCTCGTAGTAGTTGTCTATGGTGTAGTTGAAGAGTTTGAAGTCTAGCCTGTAAAATGACAAAGATGCTTTTGTTTATGTGCGTGGCGTTTAGTTTAACTTTCCCCCCGGGAGAAATTTGACCTTGGTTTGGTTGGTTGGTTTTTTTATGGCGGTCAAGCTGTAGATCCTGGCTGCACAGGAGTTGCAGCGGTGGGAACGAGAGGTGGGAATAGTCCCGTGCGTGGCGTGATAACGTTATAGGTATAGTTTTGGGTAAGCCTGCTAATTGCGCATCTCGCTGGAATGCGACTCTCCCTCGCACTCACCCGAACACCTCCCCGCGTTCGCCCCAACCGTACCAGCGTCGATGTGACGTCACGGCTGCCAGGTGCGCAGTTAACTTGACCAGTTTGTATGTCATATAAAATCTCAATACTCAATATGACCTATCTCTGTGACTCAAGATGTTTTTTTTTTTTTTTTATAAATGATCTTTTGTTATGCCTTGCAACAGGTGCTATAAACTACACTTAAATGCCCCAATAGCTACTTTATACATATTTATTTAACCTTTAAGTTTTCATTTAAGTTTGGTCCCTATACAAAATGACTGCTTGCTGATGGCAATTTGTAACCTGACTGAATTTACACCCTGTATAATTATTATGCTAATTGTTAACGCAACAGAACGTGACAAAGAGAATGTTATGGGCAGATATTAACTGTTTTGGATGCTATAAGAATGAATACAAGAACCAGTTGTTATGTAACACTTGGCCTTAGCACTTTCATTAACATTGACCTGGCGAGGCTTCTGGTAATGTATTACAAAAGATTACTATTTGATGGGTGTGTTTGGTAACGTAACAGTCTCTAATGTATGTGGGTAGACGTGGGTGGTATCTAACAGTATCGGTTATGGTTATAGAAACTGAAATCATGATTTGTTAAAATATAGAAAGAAAATCTGAAATGAAATAAATGATATTCAGCACTGCATAGCCAGGGAGGCCAAAGCACGATTGTTCTTCTTTTTTGCATCCATCGACTGTTACCCATCTTCTTGAGGTCGTAGGGCGTCCTAACTACGTTTTATTTACCACTTAGGAGTACCTACCATTACCAATAACCACTTACGCAATAAAGGGATTGTACGGTAAATAATGTAACCGTAGTAACAGGATTCCATTGGGTTGAGAATAAGTTTGCTAAAATTATCACTTCACGGGATTTATTGCAACAATATCTATTTTAACGGTAAATAAAATATTTACCCTCCCGACGTTTCGGCTCGGTTGCACGAGTCATGGTCGCGGGCAGACTGAAGGAAGAGATGCGGCGTCGTCTGCTCCGGCGCGATGAGTTTTCTTCACCCACCCGCGTTTGCACAATATTTTCGTCAGTGGTACAGTCAGTTCGACAAACTACATTAACAGTGTCCGGATTTCTCTGAGACGGCCTAGAACGCGATTTGTACTTCGTTATCACCGTTATTACCGTTAAAATAGATATTGTTGCAATAAATCCCGTGAAGTGATAATTTTATAGTAAAAATGCAACATAATAGTTTAAAAAAGTTTGCTAAAATTTCAACTACAGGATCCACTGCTGAACATAGGCCTCGTTGCAGCCGCTAGTTGCAGGTCGTAGCGACCTGCAACTAGCGGCTTCCTGCTAACTTTATGAGGTCAGACTAAAATTTTAGTGCATATAAATAAAAGAAGACTTACTTATACATCTTGTACAGGTCTTCCAGCTGTGTCTTGGTGATCCTGGAGTAAAGGTGGCTGATGTTGTTGAGGGTCCCTGGACCTTTACCACTGTTCCGCCATTCTGGTCTCACCACTTTTTGAAGGCGTGCCAGTTGGATCAGGAACCGCTGGTCCTCCTGGGATAGAAATAAGAATATTTTAGATTTAAATCTTGTTTTATGATGCAGTTAAATATTCTTTTGATGTGATTATGGTGTATAATGATGGGGCCGTGGGGAGTTTAGATTTAGACTGACGGTAGTTAAAACCGACTCCATTAATGGGGGTCGTGCTCTTACAATAGAGACTAATAATGATGATGATATTGCTGGTCAAGTGGTAGAGAGAGCTACACCTCGAATTGTTAAAAACGATTTCGATAACCCATATTAAGAATCCGGACTGACGGCACACCAAACTAATATTGTACTTATGATATCACTTCGCGTAACATGTTTTAATAACTATGTGTTACAACTCGGTGTAGTGTAGATGCCACAGTGTAATATTAGGGAGGCTTCCTATACAACTTACAAGACATTTACGAGAAAATTCGACAGCTACAATTTTATTTTATTATACAACGGTGTTTGTAGTTTTCTGTTATTAAACCGGCGCGTGCTCAACACCAGTGGGTTAATAAAACATGTAGCTGTCTATGTAAATTGGTCATTCTGTTCATAAAGTTTTATTACGTTTCTTGACATTACTATGCGTGGTTCGTACGCAGACAGACCACAAATTTACGCCGTTGGTGATGGGGCATTGTGGTCTGGTGGTTTATTGTAGTCGAAAAAAGAATGCTTAGATATGTGGGCTATAAAAGTGTGTGGCTTTCTAGCATTTCCTAGAAGTGTTGTTCCCACGTCATTCGTAACAAAGTTCGACAAGAATAACGTGATTCCTCTTACTAGAACTTCTGAAGGTGTTGGTGTCTGTATTTGTACCTAAGTAACGGCTACAGAGAACAAACTAAAAACATTGTAGTTACTTACTTTTGTTGTATAAGTACTAGGTACTCGTATTTTAAAAGTTCATTCCATGATCCTGGTCATTTTTTCTAGACTTAGAGGCTTGATTCCTGTACCTAGTATCTATTGAGCTAATACACTCAAGAGTTTTGAATCATTAGAATTCCAAACGTTTTCTGGATACTTTTACTAAGTATTGTCTTGAATTGCTCTAAAGGCCTGAATATTTCTCTAATAACTGCCGATATGTTCCTCTAAATACTCACATCCAACGTCTCGAACTTCAAAATGACATCGAAGTTGAACTGGCAAGGCGTGCAGAAGTCGGTGTATGGGGTCCAGTGCATGTCCAGGGTCCTTTTCGACTTCCACTCGTCCAGCACGTATGCGACAAACTCCTCGAATACTGGATACCTCTCTGTAGGTGTCGGGTGACCGTTGCTTGGCTGTGGAGAAAATAATAATTGATGATACAGAACAGGCGTGATCTACCTTTGGACAGTCTTTTAAGAGTAACCAATCCTAAGGAATTATTTTACGCCCGTATTCACAAACATAACTATGAGGTCTCACAGTGCGCGTGCACGCACAGGGTGACACATGAACCAATCACAGCTCTAATCAACGCTGTGCGGTCGATTTGCTGCTGCACTTAAGCAAGCATCGTTTGTGAATACGGGCATTAAGTAAGTAAGTGGTCAAAGTGTATTAGGGTTTTCGAATACAAACTGTGTCAGAAGAATTCCTTAGATAGGTTTGGTTACAAATTGAAGAGCAATTTGTTGACAACAGTTTATTATTGAGAGACTATGCGGTTGTTCAATTTATGATGTCGTAAAAATACGAATTCCTATGAAGACTACTGAAGACATCTCTTAATAACAAAGGGTAAAACTATTAGTTGTAATATGTAACATTGTAATTAATTACAGGAATAACGAGTTCTCAAGCATAGTAAACACCTATACGAGGTGCAAGTCAACAGAATCTAATACTAAACTGTATGACACCTAAGTCAATGCAAAAATCTATACGAAACCTCAAGAGATCAATTACAACCACATGTCGAATATTATATTTCAACATCTCCGTAACTTATCCATGTCAAAGAGTACAGTCGTCAACAAACAAACTACCCAGATTATAACGATTTCCCAATGGATTTTGAACTCTAATTCTTTATCGTTAGGAGCAAATAAAATACATTTAATGGCAGGATGTGTTGCTCTATGTTTGTAAGTCACACAAGAGGCCATTTAGGTGAGGTCATCTTAGATTCCACGAAACACAAAAAGGATAATGGGATATTTGAACGTAATGCTAAATTTACAAATACCTACTCAAAATGGCGAGTCAGTGACTCACAAGTGAACAAGCTTTTAAAAGGGTCTAAATGCTCTGAAAGACTGAAAAATAAATACACAGTTGCCTCTACCTAAATAAATAAATAATATCATTCATAATAAATTATAAAATTTTCTGTTCTGCACTGATTTCACAATGAAAAATGGGGACAAAGCTGCGTTTTAGTGAAAACGGCAAGTTTAAGATTGTTTTATAATATGACTAACGTGGTTTTACGTACCTTTCGAAACACCCGGATGATCTTCTGCCCCATCTTCTCATGGAAGGACTTCGGCCAAGCGTGCATAATCTTGTCATTATACGCCGACGCCAGCCGCTCCAGCGGATGCCTAACAATGAGGAACGTTATAGAGTCCGCCTGAGCCTTCTTGATCATCGCGACTGTCGGCCTCCCGTACTTCTTGCGAGCAAGTATCAAGGGCACTTCTTTGGTTTTGTTCAGGAACTCCGCTGTGTAGTTCGCCATGCGGTTGAAGTTGTACATCCAGGATGTGGAGGCTGCTTTGAAGACGTTACACCTAGGGATCAGGAAATTAATTAGATTAACAAGTGGTTTGTTGGAAAAAGAGGGTAATCGGGCTTGATAAATGTCATCAGAGGATCAATGACGCCGTGTTGCGGAAGATAACTGGCATAGCATTGCAAAGTCTTGAGTTCGATTCCAGTCTTTAAATCCATATCGATTTGTGTGATATTACTTCTTATCTAAAAACCCTCTTTCTGTACTGTTCGTACCTATATGAAAAAATCTCGGTTAGTTTTATAGCTAACAATATGGATTTCTATCTAGATTATTCAGCCTTGCGTGACAAACAGTAGATTATGTTATATCGGACGCAAATTGCTTTCATACGTGATGTACAATAGCCGATGAACCTTGACTCTCCCTATAGTTCCGAACACACCCTTTAATGCACAAGGAGTGTCTTCTAACAAACAGTTCGCTTCTATTAGAACGTAGTAGAGTTCAAAATCGTTATCTCAGGCTTGTTCTTTTCGTGCTGGTAATTTATAGTAAGTCAAATTAAGTAGGCGTTGCTGCAGATGTGTAGTTGCAACACGCGATACAAAAAGTGACCTAAACACGGTTAATGTAGAGTTACTTTCCAGTACCTATAAAGAAACAATGTGAAGCTCACTTTGATGATAGCGTGAGCGAGCTTGAGACAATCGATTTTCTATCTATCCATCGTGTTGTAATCACTGAGGTCACAGTAGGTACTTACTTAGTACACTATCCTTTCTGTTACTACCCACAATCAGAGGTGGAATTGTGTAAAGTAATTGTGTAGGTACGATTATTCTGTCAAACGCTTTGTTTAGCTGACTTTATCGTACGTTATGAACTGTCAAATGATTTCGATTGCTTTACTCAATTCCACCTCTGACTGACGATGGACTCGAAAGCTCAGAATCGTATTTATTTTAAACGATCTGGGAATCGAACCCAGGACCTCTCGACAAATAGACCAAAATTAATAATAAAGATAATCATGGTATTTCACTTTTTAGATAGAATTTTTCAAAATTTCACAAAGCTTCACTGGTTTTTAAAGGCGGTCAAGCTGTCGATCCTGCTTACACAGGAGTTATAGCAGTGAGAACGAGAGGTCGATAAAGTCTGGTTAGAGTCCACCGAGGCGTAGAACCATTGGTACACTCACCAAATGACATGGTACTGCCTGTTGATTAAAAACTCCCATGCATTGGCCTTATAGCTATAGCTGTCCAAGCCCAGAGCTGAACACTGGCTCTTCAGATAGTCATGACGCGCCTCCATCCGAGCGTTCACCTCCATGAATTTATCTCTGGTGAGGAGCCCCTCATCATGAGTCCCGTTCTCGAAGATGAACTGGAACAAGAATTAAAAAGTCATGTTTTTGTCTGGATGTCCATTGTCCAATGGCCAACGCCATCGTCTGCCAAGCTTTGTGATACGTACTAGAAATGCTTGTGCGTAAAATATTGGACCCAATGTGTGGCGTGCACAATTTGCCGAAAAGTATCGTAGCCAATAATCGAAAAGAATTGGAGTCATTGCATGGTGCACCTTTGACATTATATTGTAGCAGAGTGCAGCCAAGCTTGGACGGACTGTATACGTAACGTAGGTACCCAAGAAAGTCATCAACAAACTTTGTGGGAAACTAAATTTCTTACACATCTCACGAATTTGAATCCTGAGTAGGTAGGTACTTTCTATAGATTTTCATGGCCGTCATAACCTGCTAGTGCTAAGCCATAAACTGTTATCTTAGTATGACGATAATAGCTAACGTAATAATATTGTTAGTGACGAACGTAAACACACAAAATAAATCATTAGTGGTGAGTGGTGAAACATTATCAACACAAACCTTGCTCCAAAGTTTATTGACATAACTTGTTCAAATACAAATCGTCCAAAATACATAATAAATACCCTAAATATTTGAGAACTAAGGCACACTCACACAATAATGTTCTTTTAACAGAACCTTTCTTATGAGCGAGAGAAAAAGCGTAAGCTCTCTATGAGTATTTCTCAAAAAAAATGTACGTAACGAAACGGTAGTAACGAAATAGTAAGGCCATAAGGCTTGTTATACATTGGCGAAATATTGTGAATGCTCTTCATTTATTCAATTCGAAATATTTGTAAGTATGCACCCAAATACGGGGTAATATTAAGGGGTTAGAAATAAAATAAGGGAGTAATCATTCATACTATTTTAATAAAAATATTTTTGTTCCATCATGTTTATCCATTTTGAGTCGTTCTCTGTAAGCTTTTTGCCTTTCGGCATTGGTTTTTGGCGGCATTCCTAAAAAAACAAAAGAAGTAATCACATAAAAACGTAATCTAAATGATTTGATAATTTTTTGCTGGTGGCACTTCTGTAAAGCAGATAGTATCCAATCCTTTTGTTATTAACGCTCTATATTTTTTGAAATAAATTAAGTAGTGAATATTACTATGCTTAGTCAGGTAATAACAGTATACACTCAGCATTATGTTGTACTTTTTCGTAACGTAACGAAATTCGTAAAAAACGTAACGAAATATTAGACAAAATGAGATCAGAAACAAGTATTTTTTTGATAAAATTTGTTACAGCAAATATAAAAGCTTACTAAATGTTCGTACCACACGTATTACAAAAAATGGTTAAATGAAGACTTACCGTTCTATATAAAATCGCTGATTTTACTGCCTGTTACGAAAAAGTAATCCCACAAAACACACACGTTTTCACTAATTTTCGCGATAGATGTTATGGCGGAGACGTCAGGCCAACAGCCATTCAGAGTGCAGCTATTGTTGTCCGTGTAAAATAAATACGGAATTGTTCAGAAACCATGGGAAAGTAGAAATAAATCGTAACTAAAGAGTAAATAACGAAATAGTAAATGAGAGCGACTCATTTTGTTTTTTTGCTTTAAATTGCCAATTCATTATGACACCCCATAGAAAATCAATTTGATACAGAAACTGCGATTACTGTAGAACGATAATACAAAGAAATTTACAATAATTTAGTTACGTATCGCATTTTATGAAACAAAAATACATGAAAAAGCTAGGGTGGCAAACAGGTTTTTGTATGAAAGGTAAAAAAGGACTTTTTAAAATATCTAAATATTTGGTAATAAGTAGGATTATAGCTATAATTCTTCGTTATCTTAAAGATTAATATTCATCCTTCAAATTTGTGTGTGTGTTTTTTTTGTGTGATGATTTATAAATATAAAACTTTTGAACTGTTTCAAAGCACACTTTTTTTTTTCAAAATGTACATTTTTTTTGAGAAATACTCCTATAATGTTCTAAAAAACCTACCTACAGCGGATTGCTACAAAGGATGGGCAGCTTAAAAGATTCAAGACCCAATTCTCTCCCGTTTTCCAATTACGGGGCCAATCCCAGCGGCATTTAGATCTAATTGATTATTTCTGTGCTCGTGGAAATACTTCATTTTAAACAACACGCGCTATTTTTATATCTGACGTATGATTTTAAAATTCATAGGTAACTAGTACTATGATTATTATCTAAGTAAACAAACAGTAAACAAAAAAGTAGTAGTTAAATTTAAAAAATCGCTACATATTCCATTTGCATTAAAATTCGATTTAGAAACAAATGAAAATAGTCATACCTACTCGTCACTGCATCTAGGCCCTAGCCTTTCCTCAAAGAGTGCTAAAGGAGGATGATGCCCGTTTTCACCATCAATCCCTAATTTTTCAGTGACCCCTATGGTAACACACAGGAATTTTGTTTACATAAAGGTCACTTAAAAATTAGGGATTGATGGTGAAAACGGGCAAGAGTCTACCATTTTTTACAGCCTCTACATTCTTGAGCTTGAGATAGTCATAATCGTAATGATTAACACGTCATAATAAAGAGACATTTACTGAGATATTGTCTCTACACTCGATAACTGCATCCACTCCACCTAAAAAACTAAAAAAAAGTAGCGTGAAATTCGACTTATAGAATTAATGAAACCTATTTGATTGATGTATACAGAAAAAAACATTACATGTAACGTCCTGTTTGAAAAAAAGATCTGGGAAGTTTTTCTTTTGTTTTTAATAAGAAACAACTCTTGTTATTTATTATTTTCGTTATGGGAATTAACAAAAAAGCTCGACATACCTAATTGAACGTTTAAAATGAACCCGTGTTTTCTTTTGCTAAAACGCGTGCTATAAATAAAATTAATTGGTCTTCAATACAATTATAGGTATAAGTATATCGTTAAATAATCCAGCAGTACGAGTTGCTAGATCATTAAAATTAAATGTTTTAATAAATGTATAATAGTCGGGCAATTACCAATATTCTGTATTTCTCACCGTATCTTATGTCGGAAAAAACTGAAAACATTTTCGCTAATTACATAGTAAATTGCTTTCATGAATTTACATGAAAAATCTTTTTTGATTTCGATCTTTTTTCAGCAGATGACTGCAGTAGGTGAAAAACAGAATTCTTTTTATTGCTGTCGAATTATCTCACGTACTTTATCACGATCACTACATATTTCAGTCCTAGAGCTCAATTAAATTATGCAGAGCAGTCACTTAACTCGAGTAGTGACAATCTTTTCGCCATATTATGATTAATTGATCATTAGCTTGACGTAATAAAATGTAGCTAAGTAATTAGCGCCCTAGTGGCGTAATGCAAGCTCGTTAAAACCACGTCAACACAAAATGCCTAATTAAGTAAGCCTACTTAACTGTAGCTATTTATTTCGACAACATAATATTCTCCCATAGATAGTGGTGACAACTTATTCACTATTAAACCAATTTAACGTTAATGCGTTGAGTCAAAAGAATACGCTATAATTTATCATGTATGTGTAAGCTTTCCCTAAGGATCTCATAAGAGATCTCCAGATTTATTTCTCTAGCCCTAGCCGGTAGCAACATTTTCAGTCGTCTGTCCACTTAAGCTGGGTGTCAACGCTGCACTTAGGCCAGCGTTGCCAGACGTCCCGATTTTGGCGGGACGTCCCGATTTTTAAATCAAATTTAAATGTCCCGCGCGGGACAGGCTCTGTCCCGCTTTTCGGAGAGAGACACTCACTTCACCAGACTATTGTTTGAAACGCCATATTATTCTAAAGAATAAAACTTTTTTAATTTTTTTCTTTTTTTTATTCTAAAGACGAATTTAACGATAGAGTAAATCTGATTTAAAATATTATTTTTTTGTTAAAATACATTTTCTATGGCTACTTTTGCTATCTATTGTCACGTAAACGTAATTTTAAGTCAAATAAAAAGATAAACCTTTGATTATATACGTTTTTTTTACTATGTCCCGCTTTTGACGGAAGAATCCCGCTATTTTCACTCAAAAAGTACCAAAGTCCCGACTTGGCGAAAAAAAAAACTGGCAACGCTGACTTAGGCCCAGTTTACAGCCCTTTACAGTTTCACCAGCCCATTCTACTCATTTAATTTTATAAGTTTTACAGTAATTAACAAGATAGTTTTAAATAGAAATTGGTCCTTGTGTCGACTTTTTACGCGGAGAAAATTAATTTAAAAGCTCTCGCTTCTCTTCACACACACACACAAATAGCAATAATGTGCTAATGCGCAAAATATTATTTTGCGCTAAGTATTTTGCAAATGTATTTTCATAATGATTTAGAAGATTCAAATGTCTGTAAGACTATAATGTAAAGTATTTGATTTAAAAAGGAGGAAATTAGTTTCTAAGGAAACATAATTTTTTCTTATAGAATCTGTATAAAACAACATGTAATGCACTCTAAAATGCTTGCATTTCTGGAAAGTGTGAGGCTTTAAAGTACTTACTCGTACGTACACTTTCACTTAAAAGCTTGTGCTTTCTCCTTTATTGCTGACCTTCGAACATTGCAATTTGAAGTCTCTCTCAGTCTAGATTTTACATTTAACTGGCTATAAATTGTCCATTCATCATCATCATCATTTCAGCCATAGGACGTCCACTGCTGAACATAGGCCTCAAATAACGTGCAAGCTTAATTCCATAAAGTGTAAGTCAGAAGTCGCCTCACAAAACAACTCCTATCTGTCAGTACTATAACCAATATAAAGCCGTTCGATATGCATTGATTATTTGAATAAGGCTTTTCTTCTAATCAGATTTGAAGACACTATTGTAGTTCCAATGCAAACAACATCATCATCATCATCAACATGATTTCAGCCATAGAACGTCTACTGCTGAACATAGGCCTCCCCTAATGATTTCCACAATGGTTGGTGGCGGCCTGCATCCAGCGCCTTCCTGCTACCTTTATGAGGTCGTTGGTCCACCTTGTGGGTGGTTCTTGTGGTAGTTCCAACCCAAACAACTTA